CCTCAGCTCACCCATCCTGCTGTGTGACCTTCAGCAAGTTACTTGCCCTTTCTGAGCCTCAGTTTCCTCATACCTGCTGTTTCTCTCTCTGGGCGATTGTGAAAGTTGGATGAGAAAAGGGAGGAGAGCGGGCCGTGGACAGTGGAGACGGGGAGCCGCTGAGTGTGCGTGTGTGTCTCTAAATGTGTGGCCGGGCCAGGCTGGGGTGGGGGAGGGCCCTCACGTTGTCACCAGCCGGGTCGTCTTCCGTGCCCGCCTGGATACCGTAAGCCAGGAAGCAGAGGATGGCCCCAATCCATAGCAGGATGGAGAAGCCCCCGAAGAGCTGGCGGCAGAACTTCACCCACTCTGGGGTGGTAGGCGGTGGGGTGAGTGCGTTGGGCCCGTCTCGGGCCAGGATCTCCTGGGCTTTGCTGTGGGTCAGACCCTGGGGGACACGGGACTCACACAGAACCCTCTCCGAGGGACTTTGGCATTCCACCCCTTCACAAGCACCCCAGGCCCCCCCCCCGTCTGTCCTCCCTCGGATCCGAGAGTCCGGGCCCCCAGCCCTGCTTGGGCCCCAGCCGCACCTGCACGCAGTCCGTGTTGTACTTCCGGCAGACCTCTTCCACGGACATCTTGTGCTCTGTCTGAGGGACAGAAGTTTGGGGGGAGTTGAGTGAGTGTTCGGGCCCGTGAGAGGCAGTATGGGGGCTGCTCTGGAGGGCGAGTGGGGACGGGGGAGGGATGGGGAGCTTACCATTGCCACCTCCTTCTTGAGGTCATCCAGGTCCCTGCGCTCCTTGGTGCCCTTGCCCTTCTTGGGCGAGCCCTTGTCATCTTTCTTGTCCTGCGAGGTGGCGACACGATAGCTGTCAGAGCGACCGGACTGCGGGCGAGAAGGGGTTAAAGGGGGACACCACCCCTCCAGGCGCCTGGCCTCTGAGCCTGCCCCTAGTGTGTCCCTGTGTCCCGAGTCTGCCCCGCCCCCGTCTCTGGCCTGTGTCTCTCCATTGCCCTCTGGCCCTGGTGTCTGAGAACCTGAGTCACCTCGACTCTCACTCGGCCCCTTGTCTTGGACTCTCTGTCTCTTTGAGTCTCTCCCCTTTAGTCTCTAAACATCTTTCTTTGATCGCTGCCTCTGTCTCCCAGTCTCTGGGCCTGGCCACCTCTCTGTGTCTGTCTCCTGTGAGGCCTGTCTGTGTCCTCTCATTCTCTTTCTCCATCTGTGTCTCTGTGTGTGTGTGTTTGTCCCTCTGGGCCTCTATGTGTGTGTATCTCTACATCTGTGTGTGTGTGTCTCTCTGGGTGTCTTTGTGTGTGTCTCCCTGTGTTTTTGTGTGTGTGTGTGTGTGTCTCTCTGGGTCTCTACGTTGTGTATTTCTCTGGATCTATGTATGTGTGTGTCTCTCTGGGTCTCTATGTCTATCTGTCTCTCTGTGTGTCTGTTTGTCTCTCTGGGTCTCTATGTCTGTCTGTCTGTCTCTGTGCATGTGTATGTCTGTCTCTGCATCTCTGTGCATGTGTCTGTTTGTCTCTAGGTCTCTTTGTGTGTCTCTGAGCCTCTGTGTGTCTGTCTCTCTGGGTCTCTGTGTGTCTGTCTCTCTGGGTCTCTGTGTGTCTGTCTCTCTGGGTCTCTGTGTGTCTGTCTCTCTGGGTCTCTGTGTATGTGTCTGTCTCTGGATCTCTGCCTGTCTCTGCATCTCTGTGTGTCTGTCTGTCTCTGGGTCTCTGTCTTACTGCTCTGTTTGTCTCTTTGTCCACCTTCTCTCTCTCTCTCTGTGGCTGTTTCTCTCTCTCTCGTCACTTTGTGGTCTCTCTGCCGCTCTCTGGCTGTGGGTGTGTGTCTGATCTCTGGCCCTTCATGCCTCTCTGTCTCCATCTCTTCAGCTCTCTCCCCCGTCTGGCTGCGTCTCTGGCTCCTGCGTCTCTCCCTGAGTTGGTGTCTGTTGAGATCTCAGACTGTCTCCAGGGCCACTGTTTCCTGCCTGTGTCTTCATCCCTCCTTATCCCTGTGTCTGTCTCTGTCACTGTGTCCCTATCTCCGTCTCCTCTCTCCCTCAGTGATGACCTGCATGTGTCTCTCTCCCTAGCTCTGCCTCTCTCCTGCTGCTTGTCTGTCTGTCCTCTAACACTAGGATCTTCTCTGTCCCTGGGTCTGACTCTCCCTCTGGGTCCACTCAGTGTTTCCTCTCGGCCGGAGTCTCTGCCCTTCCAGCCCCAGGTCTTCCTGGGCCCCTCTCTGTGGTCTTCTCAGCCCAGCTAGCTCTTCCTGGGCCTCGCCACAGCCCCACGGATGTCTCAGTCTCTGTCTCCTGCAAATCTTGGAGGAGGAGGAAGGGCACTCACTCCAGGTGTGGGTCACAACTGGGACAGAGGTCTGGGGAGAGCCTGCTGTGCACAGGTGACGGCCTGGCTGGAGAATGGGCCAGTCCTGAGGGCCCTGGCCTCTCTCCTGGGGCCTGGTGGGAACTGAGGGTGTGTGGGTGCATGGGATCAGTGAGGTCTCTGCAGGACAGAGTGGGACTCAGGCAGGACTCGGGGTGCAGAGAACAAGCACAGAGCCTCAGGCTTGGCCTGAACTCAATGTGGTGAGGGGAGTAAATGCCACTGTACTTGGGGGGCCTGGGTACAGAGGTGGGGTGAGGCCAGGTGCTGTCCAAAGGCCACTGGCAAGGGCCACTGACTGATCCTGCAGACCCAGGACCAAGCCGGGATCCAAGGCTCAGCACAGCTCAGCGCTAATCCCCTTGTGACCTTGTCGAGGGACTGCGCTGTGTGCTGCCTGCCCCCAGACCCAGGGACAGACGGGGTGGGCACAGGGACGAGCTGCAGCTGGGAGGCCCGGGAGCAGGAGGAGGGTGCAGGGTGGGCAGGAGGCCTGGCCTGGGGCCAGCCCTGCAGTAGCACCGCGTCTCGGAGCAGAGACAGGCGGCGGACCGGGAGCCATTGCGCCTGCCCCTCTGCAGCAGGAGCGTCTCCACGGCTGCAGACGGCCAGACCCACGCAGGGCAGGATGCGGAGACAGAAAGCTCTGGGGTCACGCCTGAGAAGTGAGGGGGGCAGCGATAAAGGGGGCCTGCCAGGCCTGGGGAGAACACGGGCTGCCCACCTCTGAAACCTTAGGGCAGGTTGGAAAGCTAAGGCTATGGTACCTGCCAGGGAAAGGGAGGGGGGCCCAGACTCCTGAGTCTGAGGGAGGAGGGGGCTGTGGGAGGAGAGGGCAGGGACATCCCAGTCTCTGGCAGGTTCCTCCTTGCCCTTGCCGTGACCATACCCCTTGGGGCGGGTTTCCATCTGGCAGAGTGGGGAGCTGAGGCTTCCCCAGTCCAGGACAGGAGGCCCAGATGGGTGCACTGTGGGGTGGGCAACACGCCTGTTGCCGCCCCTGCGGCTGCTCAGCATTTCTGCGCTGTCCGCCTCTCCCCCCCTCTCAGGGTGTCTGGGTCTGTCATTTCTGAGTATCTCTCCCTCAACCTTCCCTGTGCACCCGGCCTTCTGTCCTCGTCATTCAGGCTGATTCCATTGTCTCTGGGTTGGACATCTCTGTCCGTGTCTCTTCTCTGCCTCAGTTTCTCTCTGTCTCTCTCTCCCATGTCTGTGTGTCACTCCTGGTGCTTTCTCTCTGCCTTTCTCTGTCTCTGTCCTGTCTCCTTCAGAATCTCTGCCTGTCTGTGTGTCTCTCTGCCCATTGCTGTCTTTCCATCTGTCTCTGTCTCTGTCACGCATGTCTGAAGCACCTCCCCGTCTCCTCCTGGCCCCGCTGCTTTTCCTAAGAACCCCTCCCCCCTTTCCTTCCTTCTCTGACCTCAGCCCCCTTCCCCAATCTGCCCACAGCTCCCATCTCACTTACCTGGAAGCCATCACTGGCTCCCACATCCACCTTCTCTCCCTAGTCCTCCCCCTCCCAGCCCTTCTCCCCACTTCCCCTCACCCACCCCAGTGCACAGAGCTGCAGCCCCACCCCCACCTCCATCCCGAGGCCCGTCAGCCTTCCTCCGCCATCTTTCTCCCCTCCCTCTTCACTACCCCAGCCCACAGCTTCCTTCCCCTCCCACAGCCCCGCCCCAGACACACAGGGAGGAATCCAGGGCTGCGGTGGGGGTCAGGTGGTCAGCCAGGGAAGGAGGCGGAGCCGGCATCTGTTGGAGAGACCCACAGACAGACAAGGACACCCGGACCCGGAGGCAAGGGCACAGCCAGGCATGCACGCTCCCCCCTCGCACACACATTTGCACACATACCCCCTCAGCCACACACTCAGTCTCCCTGCTATTACTGTCCTGCTGTGCCTCCTCCCGCAGCCCCCCTCTTTGTCTGTGCCCCCAGGTTAGGGGCCCGCACACACACCCTGCAACCCTGGGCTGCACTGCACTGCAGAGCCCCCCAACCGAGGCCTGGAAGGAGAAAGAGAGGTCATCTAGCTGACCATCCCACAGCCTGGACCGATCCCCACCCTGGGCAACCCCCCAGACACACAAACACCGCAGATGCATACACCATTGCAGACAGACAGCCAACGCAGCCGCAGCCACACAGCTGCAGGTAAATTGTGCTGACAAGGCCAGTCACACAGAGCCAGGACGGCACACACAGACATGCACACGCAGATATGCACACACACACACGTGCAATGCCCCCAGGTACACGCACCAGGCACACGCATGCACACTGCATGACAGCACCAACCGCACAAGGTCAGGAGGAGGTGCTGAGGGTGGCCTGTGCTCCGGCAGCCCCTGCACACAAAGCGATCAACATGCGCAACAGACCGCCGCCAGCCCAGGCGGCCCGCACACACTCGTACACGGATGGCCCCGGCAGCCGGTTCCCCACGGTCCTGCAGACGTGGCCCCGGGGCGCAGGGTCCCGGAGCCCCCCGCCCCCGCAGACACCCAAAGTCACTGGACCCACAATATCACACACGCACTGCCCGGCCGGCCCGAGCACCTACCCCCATCTTGGCGGCTCCGCGGGGAGAGGGGCGGGCGGGCGGGGCGGGGGCCGGGGCCGGGGCCTCAGGGCGGCTCAGGCGCGGGCTCTGGCTCGGGGCCTCTGCAGCGCCCGCGCCTCGGTCGGTCCGTCCGTCCGTCCCTCCGCACAGAGGCTGCGGCGGCCGCCGCCTCCGCCTCTTCATATGCCCGCGCCCGCGGGGGGGCCGGAGCGGGCCAATCAGCGGCGCCGCTGCCCTGACAGACGGCCCGCAGCCCCGCCCCCGGTACTGCAGCTGTCCTGCCTCCACTCTCTGCAAAGTGGCGGCGCCTTCAAGAAGGTGGAGCGCTGCGGGGGCTGGGAATCCCCAGACCCCGCAATGGGGAGCCGGAAGACCCCTGCAGTGTGGGGTGGCGCCTCTGCGGAGGGGTGCTGAGCGGAGGAGCCCCGGAAATACCCTCATTGTGTGGGGAGGGTGCCCCCAGGGAGAGAGAAAGCCCTGAGGGGGCCTTGGGGTGAGAAAAGCCTGATAAACCTCACAAGGAGGCAGGGGGACCTGGAGAGTGTGGGGAGGATGTAGTCCAGGAGGAAGGTGCTATTGGAGGGGGAGTTGGAAGGGGGCACAAGAGAGCTGTAGAGACCCCAAAATGCTGCAGAGGCCGGAGGAGCCCTGAGACCAGTCATTGTGCACCCCCTTCCACATACACTATGGCAGAGTTACTAGGTGAGGCACAACTGCCCAGGGGGCACTGCAGAGGGGTCCACCAGGAGGTCCAGGTGATGCCCAACATCACAATCGCACACGGCTTGACTGCTAACCAGAAGGCTGGCAGTTCAAACCCACCAGCCACTGCTCAGAAGGAAGGTTGGACAATCTACTTCTGTAGTGATACCACCTTGGAAACCCAAGGAGGGGTTGCTATGAATCGGACCCGACTCAATGGCAAATAACAACAACAATCACTCAGCTATTTCAGACCCATAGTCCCAATGCATCACACACTATCTTGTATGCATACAGACACACACACACACATACTACACAACCTATCTCACAACCTCAGACTCACAAGCCTGTAGCAATGAAATGTATATAGCAACTCCACACACCCCACCGCACACTACAACAGACCTACAATCACAGTCATATAGGGCCATAGCGATTAACACACACTCACAAATAACCCTGCCTCACAGACTCACAAAGCACACACTGAATCACATCTGGCTTGTCCCGTCGCACATGAAGACCCACACCACGCAACCAGTTCACCAACACACATTCTCACTCAACACCATCACATCCACACAGGTCTTACACTGCCCGCACTCTCCACAAGGGCCTGGTAGGTACTGTTGCAGTCACACAATGTCCCAGACACTGTCATACACACTCCTCTCCAATATATCTGGGCATATATCAAAGGCCCACAGTGCAGACTTACTCAACGGTTGCTAATTGTGAGTGACAGACCCAAAGTTGCATATAGACGCACACACACCATGATCATTCAGGCACAAGTCACACAACACCATCCCACACAGCTCCCACACAATGTGCTTGCAACAGTATCACATACCCCTTGTCGCACCACTTCCATACACACCCCAATGACACCCCACACACATCATACACCCATCACAGGGTGAGTATGCACACACACACAGTGACAGCTGGCACCCACACCCCAGGCCTGCCACACACACACAACACCCATCAGCACCCACTGGCCCCCACTATACCCCAACAGCAGTTCACTGTATGAGGAGCCCTCCCTACAGATGGTAGAAGGGGCTGAGAGAGGGAGAGAGAAGGAAACTGTCCCTGCAAGATGTGGATGTCCTCCCACCGATCAGAGTGGAGGTGTGGGGGACGCAAGCAAGGGACAGGGGGTGATCTTGGTGTATGCAGAGTGGGTGAAGGGTAGGAATCTGTTCAGGGAAATGTGTGAGAGGCTGAAGGCTGGAGTGAAAGACAAAAACAGAGAGGAGAGAGAGAGAGAGAGAGGTGAATTCAGAGCCAGAGAGATGGCTCGGGACAGAGCCAGAGAGCAGAGGGAGGCAGGGAGTCTTGGGTTCCCTGGCTTCCCCCAGAGTCCAAAGCCTCCTCCCCAGCATGTATGCAGTCCCTTGTTGCCATGGTAACAGAGCGGCCAGGCTGTGCAGCAAGGAGGCTGGGCCTACAGACAGGGCCTGTCACCATGGAGACCAGGAAAAGTGGAGGAACCATATCTCCTAACCCAGGTGCATTGCCCCCAGGCCCCCTCCCCAGTTCTGCCCCCTTCCCAGGGAAGAAAGAGGCTGTCAACACATCACCCCTTCCCCAGGGATGGGCCTGGGCCTGAGGGGAGAGAGTTGAGGAGCCAGGGAAACCTGGGGGTGCGGAGGTCTGGACCCCAGGAGATTCTAGGCACTCTCTCTCCCTCCAGCTGGGCTGAGGGAGGCCTCAATTCCTGCCACCCCACTGCCGACCCAGACTCATGTCCCCCTCAGGCACCCCCTCCTCAGACACAAGCCTAGTGAGAGTGATGACTGAGCTTCCTGTGAGGCCCTGTGGAAGTGGCAGGCAGGGAGGGAAGGCTTAGGAAGGTCACAGGGATGGATGGGGACGGGGGGGGAGCTCAGACAAAAACACAAGAGACAAAAGGAGAGACACGAGAGGAGAAACAGACACATTTTCCAGAATCGGAAAGAGGTAGAGACAGACAGACAGAAAAAGACAGAGAGACTGGCAAAAAGCGAAGATGAGAAAAGTCAGAAAGAGATACAGCCGCAGAAGTACTTCGTGAAGGTGACAGACACAGGGACACAGAGCCAGGCAGAGAAACGAGTTTGGCAAACTGGGGACACTCAAATAAAGACAGGAGAGCCTAAGAGCAGAAAGGAGGAAAGACCCCAGAAGAGATCAGCCGCATAGTGTTGGGACAGAGAGGGACCAGAAATGTCTGCAGTCACATTCTAGTTACCCTGGCAGAGAGGCCAGTCCAAGGGCAGAGACGTTGATTAGTCTGTAAAAGACGTGAAGCCAACTGGGAGGCTGACACCAGCTCGCCTCCATGGCTCTCCGGGAGGGGCGCGCGCACACACACACAGCAGGCGTCTGAGGCCCAGGTGGAGACGCCGGCGCTGCGGGAAGCGTCGCGGCGTGGGTGGCAGTGTGCACCGGGCGGGGTCTGGGCTGTGCCGCCGCCGACTGCGGAAGGCCCAGGAGGGAAGAGGAGAGGCGTGCGCTACTGCGCACCGGCCCGGCCGCCCGGTGCTGAACGGACAGCTCCCTGCGCCGGGCAACCTGCCCAGGCCTCTTCGGCTTGGTCCCTCGCCTCCCTGTCTGGCTTTCCTCATCTCTCTGGGGCCATCTAGTTTTCTAGGGCTTCTTGTCTCTCACTTGTCTCTGTTCCACCTCCACACCTGCTCCTCAGGCCCCAGCCCCAAGTCCTCCGTCTCTCTCCCTGTGCGCCATCTCTCACCCTCCGCTCCAGTTTTTTGACCTTCCGTTTTCACCCATCCTTTTCTGACTTCATCAGTCTCTGTCTCTCCCCTTTGCCTCAAATTCTCTCCCCACCCCTCTCTGCCCCATCATCGTCTCTCCCCCACTCCTCCTTTCCCCCACTTCTCCCCCTGCTACTCGGCCTCGCTTTGGCTCCGGTTGTGACCTTCACTCGTCCTTTCTCAGCTGCAGTTTCCACAGAAACCTCTAGCGGGACGGGGGAGGATGGGGAGAGAAGGCAGACACACCCTGCTCCCTGCTCCCCCAGCCCTTCAGCCCCCCCTCCACTGGATTCCTTGATTCCTCTCATGGGGCTGGAGGAGCTGTATTTTCAGCGGAAACAGAGTCACGGTCACAGAGCTGAAAATGGCCTTACAGATGTGCGCGCTCAAACACACACACACACACACACACTCACAAAGTTGCCGAGTCACCCTGACCCAGGCACACACACGTGTCACGCAGGCACCAGCACACTTACAGCTCGCTGGCCCGCCCCTTCCCCAGCCCCATCTGGTCTCCGTCTGTCTCCAGATCCTAGCATCTTTCCATCTGTTTCAGGGTCTCTGTCGGAGCCTCCCTCAGTCCTGAAACAAGGGGGGAGGGGCCAGCTGCAGGGCCCTGGGCTAACCTGGCTGTGGGCGGGGCTGAGGGTGCGGACGGTGGGCGCGACCGCAGCGGCTGCACCGTCTCAGCGGACCTCGCAGGGCCTAGATCTTCAATGCCTTCACACCCCCAGGAAATAAGATCCGGGTATCCCCACTTTTGGGGTTTTGTTCTTTTTTTTATTCCAACAGGACTAGGGTGTGGCAGGGGGAGGGATGGGGGCTCAACTGACCCCCTCCCTGGGGGGGTCTCATAGAAATTCCGAGGTTTCTCCCCAAAAAAAAGAGAGAGAGAAGAGTCAAAGGGTGCCAAGCGACACCCATCCATCTGCCCAGAGGCCCTCCCCCCTCCGGAAGTGGGGAGGGCTGCATCAAGTTTTGGGGGCCTGCGCAGTCCCAGGATGGGGTCCTCCCCGCCGACTGCATTCTGTCGGAACGGTGCCCGCAGTCCCCGACTCAACTGCTGGAGTCCTAGGTCCTGTGCTCCTCTCGCCAGCGCTGGAGGGAGGACAGAGCGCGGGCGTCCGCGGCACCCTCCCGCGAGTCCACCAGGGGGCGCAGGCAGGCTCCGGAGCCGGGTCTCGGACTTCCTGGGGACCCAAGGCAAAGTCGCGGCGTCCCGTGCGCCGGGGCACAAATTCTGTTCCCCACCTGCCAGGGCAGGCGGGGGCGGCCAGGGCCTGGGCCCCAGCCCTGCAGTCAGTCCGGGCGCCCGCCCGTTGTCACTCGTGCTCCACCAGCTCGCGGGAGCCGGCGGGGCCGGGCCGCTGC